CCCTGATCTATACCTTGGAAAAATAGGTAGATAGCATTGATTTCTTCAATTGGACTGGACCAGAACACAGGTGGCTCTCGAATTATGGCCGCAAATCAGGACCAGAATTCCAATCGCTCAGTGATGCAATTGTTAAAAGGAGTCATCATCAGATTTTTGCAGCTTTACCACAGTCCTTAAACGAATTGCAGCATTGTTCAGTGAATTCTGCAGTCCTTAAGTGAATCGCCTCCTTTAATAGACTGCTGAGAAGTTTGACAATGCGTGATCAGACACCGCGACTGTCAGAAATAAACCAATACTGGCCGCAAAAAAAAAGAAAAAAACCTATCGCAAATTGTGATTCCTGGATAAGAGCCCCCTTGGTTGGGCTGGCTGTGGATGATGGGAGTTGTACTCCAGACTGTCTGGATCTCAAGTAGGGGCAAGGCAGGGCGCTAGGCAACAAGCAGGCGATGTTTGATACAACTTTTAAAATGTAGAAGGAGACGTTAGTCGGCTGTTTAACCGGCATCATCGGATTCAACCTCTTTCTTTCCCTGGCAGTGCAAGATGGGTTCGTGTTCCAGAAATGTGGCGCAGATGGGCAGTGGGTGGTTGATGCCTCTGGACTGCCGTGGCGGGATCATTCCCAGTGCGTGGGCCCCCGCGATGATCTCCCCTTGCAGGTAAAATCTATTAAACCAGAGATGGCCCCATCATGGCAACTTTGAAGAACTGTGGACATCTTCACCTCCCAAAATTCCCCAGCCAGCATGTTGCCTCTTGAAAAAGCACCTTTGGGACACCTTAAATTCAGTAAAAATGTCACACGTTAACTAAGACTGCAGCCACAGATAATTATTTATATTTATTTGACTTTTAACCTGCCTTTATTGTTGTTTATAAATAACTCAAGATGGCAAATATACTGAATAGCAATAGCACTTAGTCTTGTACACCTTTCTCCTCTATTTTTCCCACAACAACAGTAGCAACCCTGTGAGGGGAGTTGGGCTGAGAGAGAGGGACTGATCCATTGTCACCCAGCTGGCTTTCATAATTAAGGCAGAATTAGAACTTCCAGCCTCCCAGTAATTGGCCCAAAGTCAACCAGTTGATTTTCATGCCTAAGGTAGGACTAGAACTCACCGTCTCCTGGTGATTGGCCCAAAGTCACCCAGCCGGTTTTCATGATTGAGGTGGCACTAGAACTCCCTGTCTCCTGGTGATTGGCCCAAAGTCACCCAGCTGATTTTCATGCCTAAAGTGGGACTAGAACTTCCAGACTCCTGGTGATTGGCCCAAAGTCACCCAGTCAGCTTTCATGCCTAAGGTGGGACTAGAACTCCCTGTCTCCTAGTGATAGGCCCAAAGTCACCCAGCCGGTTTTCATGATTGAGGTGGCACTAGAACTCCCTGTCTCCTGGTGATTGGCCCAAAGTCACCCAGCCGGCTTTCTTGCCTGAAATGGGACTAGAACTCCCAGTCTCCTGGTGATTGGCCCAAAGTCACCCAGTCAGCTTTCATGCCTAAGGTGGGACTAGAACTCCCTGTCTCCTAGTGATAGGCCCAAAGTCACCCAGCCGGTTTTCATGATTGAGGTGGCACTAGAACTCCCTGTCTCCTGGTGATTGGCCCAAAGTCACCCAGTCAGCTTTCATGCCTAAGGTGGGACTAGAACTCACCGTCTCCTGGTGATTGGCCCAAAGTCCTCCGGTCAGCTTTCGTGCTGAAGATGGGACTAGAACTCACAACCACCGGGTTCCCAAGCCAGCGCCTTAACCCCCAGACCAAACAGGCATCGGCAGGGAAAAATCTGGTTTGAAAAATCCTCTCTTGGTCATCATCCAAGCGGGATCCATTCGTACATTCCTCTTCTTACAGGGGTGCTGATGTTTTTAGATCACGAGCTCCCCCCTGGATTTCTCTTTTCCTTCAGAAACGTTTGTGGATCCTGGAACAATTCCGCTGGATGTACACCGTAGGGTACTCCCTCTCGCTCGTGTCGCTCCTTGTGGCTTTGACACTGCTGGCAGCCTTCAGGTAGGGGAAAACTGGATCCACAATGCATTGCTCCGGGCTCTGAAATACAGGCCGTCCTTGACTTACGACAGTTCGTTTAGTGACCGTTTGAAGTTACCATGTGTTCTGACCCAAATCTTTTTCCAATAATAAAACAAAAACGAACCAAAGGAAACAGAAACCTTTGAATGAGTCTCACGAATCCCCGGTTAAAAGGCTGCTGCAAACAAATTAACTTTGATAAACACAAGCCTCGCCAAAACTGTGCGAGGCTGCCAAGAATCACAGATAAGAAATATTTCACAAAAACAAGAGTCTTCAAATACCAACTTAAGATACTGCAATGTCCCCGAGGCTGAGTTTCAAAACGTCTTTGCTTCCTGCAAAGAACGTTTGCTTCACAGCTGGCTTTTATCTTCTTGAAGGAGGGGCCATCACCTTGCAGCCTTACTCCCGAGTCACCTGTGCTGTTGCAGCTGCTCTTTCCTGCGAGCAATCCTGCGTGCACGCGCACTTGGCACAGGCTCCTTGGGAACCTCCTCATCGCTGCTGCCAGCCCCCACAATCTCTGAAGGCAGCAGTCCACTCCCTAATGGTCCTGGCCCCTCACCTGAGTCCTCGCTCTCCTCAGCCGTCCTCACCTGCTGCCAGCTAACCACAAAACCATGGCAATGAAAGAAGGGATGTTGGGCTGTTTTTCACACTTACAATTCCTGCAGCGTTCCTAAGTGAACGGTTGTAAGTCAAGGGCTCCCCATGTTTTCAGACCTGCAACGTTCTGACAATCATGTAGAATTTGTCTCGTGGGATTTATGTTCCCTGTCTGGTCTTCTTCGGAGGCTGACCTGAGAGTATGGCAATGCACACCACGTCTCTTCCCCCAGGAAGCTTCGATGCATGCGCAACTTCATCCACATGAACCTGTTCCTGTCCCATGTGCTGCGAGCAGCCGCCATCCTTCTCCGAGACTCCCTGCTCTGGCTACACTTCCCCAGGGGCCTCCAGGTGGATCTCTCGGATCTTCCAAGGGATCAGGTATCTCTTCCTGCCATGGAGGATCCTGGAGTCAGATAGGAAAGAGGCAGGATGAAGGTGGGAGGAGAAGAGGAGTTGGAGGGTTCTGGGTTTGCGTTCAATTTTCCTTCCTTCCTTCCTTCCTTCCTTCCTTCCTTCCTTCCTTCCTTCCTCTTTCTTTCTTTCTTTCTTTCTTTCTTTCTTTCTTTCTTTCTTTCT